TGACATCCATTAGATCTGGATGGACTCGAGACGTTCTACTGTCATAAACCCGGGATTCGAACTTGAGACTATCGGGTTAGCAGTCGTGTGCTCTAACATCCGACCACGCCGTCCCAAGTAACAAATTCTGACAAAACTCCCATATCTGATACGCCTTAGGTGTATGATGTCCAGAGGCGTATCCAGGTTTTCGTTGTAGGGGGAGCGAAAAGAGCAAAAAAAGGCGCCGAATTTTTAATACGTTCTGCATACGTGTATTAAATATTTTGCATAGAAAAGGACAGTTTTATTTTTATTCTTAGCCAACGTGAGTATTATAGCACTATATATATATATATATATATATATATATATATATATATATATATATATACTAGCTGTATTTCATTACTTCGCTATGATGTAAAATAAATTGAAAGTAGCACTCTGAAGAAATAAGAAAAAACACACCATGTAGGCCGACAAAACAAAAATTGTATCACTCTAAGCAAAAAAAATATATATATATACACACTACAACCAAAAACAATGAACGTAACACAATCTGTTTTGTAGTTCTTGTAAACGAATTTCTTACATAATAATACCTGGGAAATTACTTAAGACAAGTGAAATAAGGGAAATAATCACTCTCTTAATATAAATATGTATATATCTACACATTTAATTATAAATGTCAAAACAAATAAATAATTACTTTAGAATATAATGAAATTGTTTAACACTATTCATGTTTACAAAATGTTTTTGTCTATAATCAGAATTTAATATATCGTCATCATAAATGCTAAAGTTTTACAGCATAATGAAAGTTTGTAAAATCAGAGTTGGTATAAAACCACGCTTTTCTATATAACAGAACAACATTCGGAACAACATCCTACATTAAACTAAATGTCGGTCTTTTAGTTCAGATCATATATTTTAATTATCTACTGCTTCTTTGTGTTTTTAAAGATCTTTTTTTTTTAATTGTGATAGGTATGGGTTAGATCACTGTATTGTTCACACACTTTTTACTGGTAATTGCAAAAACAATATTCACAGAGTTTTACGTTTAGAAAGCTAATTTTCTGGCGGCATGGTACTTTAGTACATCATTAAGCGTTTTTCTACATGTACTTAACAGATCAGTTCGGGGTTGGTTGGGGAGGGGGTGGGGTGGGTTCAACTTTATTCACCACTTACCGTTCACTTTAGGTCAATTATCCAACCCAGTGTATACCTAGGTGTGACATTAATGTCGCTCTACACAATTGTGGTGGTGAGGTGTGCGGGGGGGGGGGGGGGGAGATAACCAACTCAGAGTGAACATAGCGTCAGTTTTTAGATGACATACATATATATTACACAAATATATATTACACAAATATATATTACAGAAATAGATTTAAATAAGTAGCAGTAGTATTATGACAATATTTGTTTTACAAAGGGGTCCATGGGGGAGGGGATTGTAACTGTTTCATATAATTTATAATCACTATCGCCCAAACTGTAAGAATACTACTACTTCATCGTGATGACGTTGTTGCCCTTGTCAAAATTTCCCCACCACTACGCAGTTTGCTCATAAGTAAATTAAAAATAGAGGTGTCACATCAGTTGTATTTGTTTCTGTATTGTGATTTTAAAAAAAATTAATCACACGATTCAAACTGTATATATAAAGTAATTATGTGTGAAGCTTTATGTATAACATTTTCTAATTCAATTATTCGTAAGCAAATACATTATACAGTTGCCTTAAACTTAACACCCCTCTTGCCAAGTGGTATTACCGTAGAGGTTTTTTAAACATTGCAATGCATCGTAATGGATATTTTTAGAATGGCAAACTGATGCAGCTGTTAATACGTGTTGTAAACGTAGACACTACTAGACTAGTACAATAATGCTTAATTGCTGCATGAAAAGAAATCTTGTGATTTACATAGATGTGCCGACCAAAAATATTTTTTTAACAAATATATATTTTTTTAAAACTTTGAGTTTAAAAAGTTTCAAAAAAGGCGCCATTTTGCTGAAAATGGCCAGAGGGGGAGCGGCCGCTCCCCCTGCTCCCCCCCTGCGTACGCTACTGATGATGTCATTTATAAACAACATCCACCAACCAGAAAATGTACGCAACATGCCAACGTGATGCACAATATATAACATACATACATTCACTATCCGTAAATAAATGTGTTGGGCAGTCACTTAACCAAAGCGCCCCCACACGTGTAGTTTAATTGCAGATGTCTCTGCCTCCTCCCCCCTCCCCCACCCCCTACTTCCCCAGTCCCCCTGTCTCACTCGAGAGGTGAAGATGGACATAGCCCGAGCCTACAAGAGACCCACTGTTCCCACCGGGAGCACTGAATCACTCACCCCCGGGCTCCACCACCTCATCTTCAAAACACCACGATAAACTGTTTTATCTCAGATTCGAGATTGCATGACATGAAATACTGGATTTCGGTAGCCTCCCCTTGGACAAGAAATGCTGCAGTTTTGGTTAACTCCCTTGTTTTTTTTTTCTTCCCAGAAAATGGATCAGTACCGTAAGGGAAGCAGGCTGCATTTACACAAAAATATGTAAATTAATTTACGACATAATTTAAATCAATACAAAATAGTAAAGAGGCGCTATTAATTGTTCAGTTACATTGGTATTGCTTATATTGCATTTTTGCTGAACATATATTCAAAACTTAGACACCACCTTTATTGTGTTTTAAAGATAATTATATAATAAATGTTTTATGTTATCCGATGCTAAAATTCACTGAGATAGGGAATTAAAATATTTTATAGGAATTTTGTTTTTAAAAAAAAATAATAATAAAAATAATTAAAGTGAAGTTTTCCTTATCTCTTTAGTAATTCACCTTTGCTAGTACAAAGACAAGTGCTCACACTTCTATACCATGTTGGGAAGTTGGGGGAGATAGGTATGGATTATTTCTAGAGGTGGGTGGAGATGGGAGCATCTTGATAGTTGGGAGGGGGGGGGGACTACGACAACGGGATTGGGGTTAGGGAGAGGGAAATTAGAGTTGGACACCGAGGGCTGGGTTGGGTGGGGAGAAACTCGATAACCGATGGTTGGACATTGAGAGATGGGTGGGGTGGGGAAGGGTGGGACATGGAGAGATGGGTGGGAGGGGGACGGGTGGGACATGGAGAGATGGGTGGGGTGGGGATGGGTGGGACATGGAGAGATGGGTGGGGTGGGGACGGGTGGGACATGGAGAGATAGGTGGGGTTTAAAAACCCGCAGAAGATTACTTTCACTGGATACAATAACGACTGTGACGTCACGGAATGTCTCGAGACCCGAGATAACAACAGAAATTGTTCAGGGAATCTCCGATATCCAAAAATAAATACTGTGGCTATTGTTCTAAAAATAGACAATACCACCCACCATGAGCAAGGGATAGAAAATGGCCACGGTAAACTTGTTTGTCACGAAAATTACTCACAGGAAATGTAGTATCGGGTAAGGTTTAAAATACGCTACACAATCAAACAATAAACTGTTAAACCTGACGCTTTGTTCAAATTTATTTATTTTGTAATACACTTTTTTATAAATGCAATCAAAGTAAGTGTAGGCCACTCAATTTTTTTTTTAAAAGGGCGTTTTAAAAAAAAACCCGATACTATAAGTATTATAGACCAATAAAAACATTTTCTCCATACTTGTTAGCCTTTTTTCGAGCTCTTATATTTGAGATGTGTTAATGTTACCCATTTTTTGACATTTCCAACATTTCAACACTTTTTATTATCAAGCTGTATAATCATTTTAAGGTATGTTTTGTAAATTTATATATATGGTTTTAGTCTGGAGGGTTTTGTAAGTTAACACATTAAGCATACCTTTTAGAAGTTAATTTATTTTAGAGCTTTGTAAAAATTATAATATTGATATTGATGAAGATAATGAATTGATCGTCTTATCTTGTTTATCGTAGGTACCACACGTTTATTTAACTAAACGAAGGTGTTCTAATTATTTTTTAAAAATTAATCCAAATATCTAGCTGGACTTACCCACATCAGTAAAAACAGAATAGAATGGAAGATTTTCAAAGCTAACATCAAAGCTAATATTATCCACTTATTTTGATTAATTTACGCTTGGTCTAACCTAGACAAGGATCTAAACTTTACAATAATATTCAAGCTATTTCACTGCCCCCAGGGACATTTAGGTTAAAAAGGGAACGTTAATTTATTTTTAATCTCAAACTAAAGATTAAATGTGATATCACATTGAACTTTAAAGGAAATGACTTTTTGCAGTAAATGTAACCTTAAGTTTAATCTTAAATTAGCTTTTTGGTGAAATACGATATAAAGCTAAGGATACGACACAGAGCAACAGTGAAACAAACAAGAAAAACTATCCCAACACCACCAAAAAAACACAAACACAACCTACAGCAACATCACCACTCACAACAACAGTAAAACAACCGATCCCTAACATCACCACACAGAACACTGACGAAAGCAAAACAGGCTACCCCCCAACACCACCACACAAAACAGTAAAACAACCTACCCAGAGGCGTAGCGAGGGGGGGGGGGGGTGCGGGAGGTGCGGACCACACCGGGTGACACCATTTAGGGGGGTGACACCAAGGCAAAAAATAGTAAAATATATAGAGAAAAATTTGAGGGGGGGGGGGGGGGTTACAAATCGAAAGTTTGAGGGGGGGGGGTGCAAATCGAAAGTACGAAGAGGGGATGCAAATCGAAAGTTTGAGGGGGGGGCTGCAAATCGAAAATTGAAAGTTTGTCCCCGGGAAGAGTCTCTACGCCTCTGGGGGGGGGGGGGGGGTGACACCATTAAGTGCCGCACCGGGTGACACCCGTCCTCGCTACGCCACTGAACCGACCCAAACATCCTAGACAAAAAAAATACTGAAACAACGTACCCCAGCATCACACAGAACAACACGGAGGCAAAAAAACCTACCCCACCAATACACCAAGACACCTACCTGAGACGGACAGATCCACACTCTCACCCCCCAGGCTGGGGTTCGTCGTAGATCCATACGGACTTTGGTCATTGCTCGAGGGCGGGGACATGGACTGGAGCGACCCCGTACTTCCGGCGGGGGAGAGGGGCTGCTGCTTGACCCCGCTCGGGTATCCACCTCTGGGGGTCTGCCCGCCCCACTGGTATAGTCCCGGCATCATGTTGCTCCCGGCGCCCGCCATGGGCGTGGAATAGTCCCGGCTATACAGCGCCTGCTGCTCCCGGTGATACAGCGAGGCGTCACGCAGCGACTCTGACACGGCGTCACGGTTGTACGCCGACACGGCGTCACGGTTATACGCCGCGACCGAATCCCGTAGACTTTCTTTTGAATAAACGCCCGAGTCCCGCATCTGATACGCCGCGATGGCGTCCCGCGTTGCCATGACAGCGTCTCGGGATTGATAGTTCGACGGGCTGTTTCCGGCGTATTTGTTCGCCATCGACGCCTGGACGTCGTGGGATAGATCGGAGGAAGGAGACAGAAGTCCATCTCTAGAAGTGGGCGTTGGCCCAGAAGCTCCTGCTGCCGAAGAAGTGTCTCTCAAAGAATTGTCTGAAGCACTGGTGTCTCGCATCAACAAGTTCTCGCGAGAACTGGGATCTCGCATTGAGTTCCCCAAGACATCGCGGTCGTACGAGGGCGGTGTCATGTTAGGCGTGGACGACGTCGGGGGCTGGAACCCCCCGGGGGTAGTCCCACCGCCCAGACTGCCTAAATTGTAGTCGGCGCCGCCCATGGCGTTCATCCCGGAAATACCGTGGTGGAAGCCGGGTAGATTCGATGACGTCATGTTGTGGATGTTGGACATGCCTTGGAAGTTGGACATGCTCGGGAGGCCGGCGGCCATGTTCGACATGGACGCCATGCTGGGCAGACTGGACACCGGTGACTGGAACCCTGGCATGGCGCATGCGCTCTGGGCGTATCTGTTGTAGGAACTGTAGTTGGGGGCCATGCCCATCTGCTGCATCGAGTTCCCGGGCATCATCTGCTGGGAGTACGGGTCGTACGAGGACATCTGACCGTTGGCCATCCCGCAGGCCATGTTCATGGACGACATCCCGGGGTTATGGGGGCCCATGAAATCATAATGACTCATCATCGGACCGCCCCCGCCCATTCCGTTCAGCATCCCAAAAGGTTTAAGCGCCTGGCATTTTCTTCGAAAACCTCTCGGTCGTCGTCTGAATGACCCCTCTTCGAACATAAACTCGGCTGCAGGGTCTATGGTCCAAAAATGGCCTTTCCCCGGTCGACCAATGCCTTTGGGCAACTTGATGAAACATTCGTTAAGGGAGAGATTATGCCGCACCGAGTTTTTCCACCCTTGATAACTTCCCCTGAAAAATGGAAATCTCTGTTGAAGAAACTGATAAATTTCGCTGAGCGTACAGCGTTTGGTCGGCGATGACTGAATCGCCATGACAATCAGCGCTATGTAGGAGTACGGGGGTTTTTCCGACCTGCGGACCCCGACCCCTGATTTCTTCCCGTTCTTCCCCTCCTCCTCCCCAGGGCTTTCCGGGGGGTTGGTTGTGGTGCTGGGGGACTCGTCCTCGCTGTCAGCATCGTCGTTGTCATTCATCGAACAGCCGGCTGTACCACCAGATGACAGCCCTGTTCCGCTGCCGGAGACTTTGTTTTCAACTTTCGCCGCTGCTATATTTTTCATTTCACAGAGGTCGTGGCCATTCGACACAGGCAGCAGTGAACTATGATCGTAGATCTTAAGAGACTGGTCGTACGGTTTCATAGTATGGTCGTAAGGCTTAAGCGTATGGTCGTACGACTTGGGATGGGGCTCGTAGCTTTTTATCGACGGGTCGTATTGTTTCAGATGTGTGTCGTAGGCTTTGAGATGCGTCTCGTACGGTTTCATATGCGTGTCGTAGGACTTCAGCGACGGGTCGTAGTTTTTCAGACTCTGGTCGTAAGATTTAATTGACTGGTCGTAAGATTTAATCGACTGGTCGTAAGATTTAATAGTCTGGTCGTAAGGCTTCATTGAGCTTTCGTAGGACTTTAGTGAGGTTTCGTAGGACTTCATAGGACTGTCATACGACTTCATAGCACTGTCGTAAGACTTTAGGGCTCCGTCGTACGGCTTCATGGCTGCGTCGTACGGCTTCATGGCACCGTCGTACGGCTTCATGGCTGCGTCGTACGGCTTCATGGAAGTGTCGTACGGCTTCATGGAGGTGTCGTACGGCTTCATGACGCCGTCGTAAGGTTTATGGTCTAAGAGACACTCCATGTCCCCGCCCACAAGGACTGTGTCACGTGACAGGTCGTGAACCAGACGATCTGATGTAAGTCTTCAAACCCGAACCCAAACCTGAAACATAATTTAAAAAAAATAATTATGTATTACTCGGGGTACTTAAAATTATAAGAAAATTGTGTACTTTAAATAACTTGTTCGTATAAGAAGACCTCCCCCCCCTTTCTTCCTTCAAACACCATACCTAAGGCGCAACGTTGCCAATACACAGAGAGATCATTATTCAACATACACAGACACACCTGTATACATACATACATAAACCATTATACAACACACACACACACACATTTATAAAATTATACAGAGACCATAATTTTAGAACACACAAACCTTTATAAGCACATACAGAGACCATTATACAAGAAAACACAAACCTAAACACACATGAGATCTACTATGGTTGCAAAATCGCTAACACAACAACGAAAATCAATCAACTTAAAAAAATCAATTAAAATAAAATATAATTATACTAAAAAGCAGGACAACATATAATAGTTTTAATTAATTTTACTACTAAATTCGCGTTAATGAACAGAACATAAACTGTGTATTGGCAAAAAAAAAAAGATGCAAAACTACAACAAATAAAAATTTTAAGTAAATTAAAGATTTCTATAAAAAAATTAAATAGATCTATTTAAAAAGCTGGCTTGTCGGAGTTAATTACTTTATAAAAGTTAATCATTACACAGAAAACCGTTTGTAATTATCAAATTCAGATGATTCTAGTATTTTAAGTTAATTGGAATACATTTATAATTCATCTTTTTTATTAATTTCCAATAAGTGTGGGTGACTATTTCATTTCACAATATTTAAGACACAACACAAATCTTGAGAAAATAATATAAAAAAGTAAAAAAAAAATAATAATAAAATAAAATAGAGAATGGTAAGGTACATTTTTTTTTATTTCTTAAACTTTAGCTATTTATAGATCACGGCAAAATTTGAAGATTATATTTCGCACTTGACTTTTTAAAGCCTCTGCTATAGAATTTTTTTTTTAAATTTACTCAGCTTTAATACATACCTGGATTAAAATCTTAATCAAATATATGTATTATTACATTGAATAATGAATTCGTAACTATCTTAACATGTATTCTTTTCTTATACAATACGACATCGAATATAATTAGGATGGAAACATTTTATGTTTTATTTAAAGCAGACATAACTATAAAGTGGATAAACACAACTAAAAAATTGGCAATCAAACACAACTTTTGTCAGATAGGTACACACAGAAATAGACAGTATAGAAAAGCTATACACAGGTCTCTTATGACAGCTCTATCCGTAAATTGTCAGGTATTTTTTTTAAAATGTTAGGTATTTGTTAAAAAATGTGATTTTTTTTTAAATGTCAGGTATATGTTAAAAATATGATTTTTTAAAAATGTCTGGTATATGCTGAAAACTGTGATTGTTTTTTAAAATGTCAGATATATGTTAAAAACTATGATTTTTGTTATTATGTCAGGTATGTACCGAAAACTATGATTTTATAATGTCAGGTAAAATTTAAAAACTGTAAATTTTTTATCTCAGGTATACACTGAAAACTGTTTTTTTTAAATAAAAGCTCTATAAAAAAAATCAATGATTTTTTAATGACATGAAACTATGATTTTTTTTAATGACAGGCATACAGAGATAATTGCTGTCTAATATCAGGTATATACAGAAGAATAAAGTTGACATTATCTAAAAGTTATTTTAAACACTTGTTTTAGGCTGGATATATCTGTAATGATGTCTTCTTTGTTTTTCTTAATGATTAGTGTAACAAATTCAATTAGCTCTATTTTCACATACAAATCTAGCGTTTGTAAACTTTTACACATTTAAACATTGTTAACTAATACATAATCTAAACTTTGTTAACTTTTAAACATGTAAACATTGTTAACTTTTACACATCTAAACAGATCGAAACATTGTATACACAAATAACTAAACTTGCGGGAGAGACTACTAAAAAGAAAATGTTTTACAACTAAATGGCTTACATCTGATCATCCAATCATGAGCACAACTAGACAGCTTCCCTACACATGTAACTATATAGAATTTTCGTTAAGAATGTACGATACTTATTTAAGATATTAGAACTCTGAAGTCTATGTGCTATGTATGTAGGTATTAACAATGTACTAGGTACAGGAGAAACCCCATTTTCATTGCATGCGTTACTTTATATATATATATTGTATTGTATTTTCTACATTTTTCTCTAACGCTTTTTGTGACAAAAAAGTACATAATAAATAATAACAACACCAGCTTACAATAATTGTGTTAACTAAATTTCTGTTTTATTTCATGGGAGAGTTAAAAACAAATGGTAGCTGCAGTGAGGTTAATACATAGTACTGTTCACCAACGATGTTCAAAATATGCCATCTAAGTTGATGAAAGCATTAAGAAAATTTGTTTAAATACCAACCAAAGATATATCATTTGCTCACTAATTTAACTGCAAAGTGTAAAAAACAAACATAACTATGGATATTATATTTTCTTATTAGTAGTATATAATTATCTACTTAGCGCAACTATTCTAAAAAGTTTGGCTTTCAGACGATCAACACAGGCAATGTTGCCGCTTTCTTTATATTTTTTAAATTGGAATATTAACATCTTTTTTTTAAACTCAGCATTAGATAAGGTTAAAGAAAAGTGTCTTGAAATTTGAAAGTAGGCAACATTTTTTATTATTCTTAAAAGATAACATTTAACGTTGTTGGAAAAATTTTTAGCTTTAAGTCGGCAGCATTCCAAGTTCCAGGAATCTTTGTTTTAATTAGCTGATACTAAGCCCGCATTTTTACAATCTGAACTGGCTTGCCCCCAATTAATTTCATCCTTTCCTAGCTTACCCCACTCAGGGGTGGCGGGAGTAATTGGGCCGCCCGGGGGTGACGTTTTTTTGACGCCCTCAGAGCTCCATCGGTATCGGGCTTTGACGCCTAGGGTAGCCGTTCAGTAGGCTACTAGCTACTGCTAATCCCTGCTTCAGTTAAACGTGACCGCTAATCATTACACCCGCTCCCATTTATAGCGTTAAAACAGGCTTTATTACCCGCTAGCCTGCTCCCATTTATAACACAAAAACAGGTTTTTATGACCAAGTTAATCAGCTACAGTTTATAACATTTAAAACCGGTTTTATGATCCGAGCACACAGCTTCCATTTGTTACATTAAAACTGCAACCATGACATGGTTTACTTATCACATTTATAACATAAAAAATACCACATTTGTGGCCGCAGTAGGTAAATTCGATTTATAACATTAAAACATAAATTGTCTATGTGACCGATTTATAACGTTAAAAATATAACTTCTTACTTTGTTTACTTAACCGATGTATAGTATTAAACATATTTAACAATCTCCAATTTGTACCGTTAAAGTCGGATTTTCAGCTCTATTCACTTGTCCGATTTAACAATATTGCGTCCCCGCGTCACTCCCCCCCCCCCTATTTATTTAAGTTCCTTACTTTGACAAAAAAGCCCCCCCTTCCCCCACCTAACCCGAACACCACCCCCCCCCCCCCCCCCCAATAAGAAAAGATCGTCTCTTAAATATTTTTAATCCTGTTATCACACTACTGATGTAGAAAACAACTTAATAAGCCCGTAACACTAAGTAGCATTCTGTTTTCTTAACTTCGACTTCAGCAAATAGCTTTATATAAACTTAAAAAAAAATGTTCTACCCGGTTTGCCGCCCCCCCCCCAAGTGTCGGCTCCTGGGACAGCCGCCCGACCCTCCATCCCTTAGCTACGCCTCTGAAGCAAGATACCGTTTATAACTTTTAAAGAACAACACGGCCGAGATGTCTTACATAGAAACCTGACTGGACTAGGTACAAGAAAGGACGTGGCGTCACCTTACATTTGGCCATAAACGTCGTGTTCATGCCTACCCCACAGCGCTACACTCTGGGGTGTAGGGGGGTGGAGTGGTAACAAGAAGAGCGTTGGCCCGGGGACGGGGTGTGAGTTCGAGCTGCGGGTCTTGTAGTTTGTGGCTAAGCTTATTAATGTTTTTGGTAATTGGATAATCCCCATGAGGTGAACACGGTATTGTGCCGATGTATATTTTTTTTTCTGTTTGTATCATTGTTGGGATGGAGTGAATATAATGCCAAAGCCGTGCCGTGTTTGGGCTATGTTAGGTTTTAATTTACAGGGATTAGAATACGACTTGAGTGAAAGTACGGCAAATTATTAATGCTCACGGCAGAGCGTTATTATAAATACTGCACAAAATTTTTTTTAATTGTATGTTTATAGACCCGACCTAAATCTCTTTTTGTTCACAATTTTGAGTTTGAGTCAAAGAAAAATTGTTTATTATATTTTATTGGGTAAAAAATTATTTATATTAGTCGTATTTATTTGTATTTTTAATATATATTTAATATCAGCAAGTTATAGTTACTTTATTAACCTTATGTTGTTTTCATTTTGTGATATCGACTAACATCAATATAACAGTTTCAAATCATTTTATTCAAATCATTTTATTCAAATCATTGTCAAGTACTTACAGCTGTATAATTGAAGCGTAGTGGACTAACAGCCCAATTTTGTCCAGGTACTTACCA